TCCCTAGATAAAAAAGTTTATATAAGGTTGCAACCTTAACAATGTAGACTTAAGGTACACCTCAAAAATCGATCACAACCGTTGTTTTGATGTTGGAAAATCGTCAAATAGATTATGTCACTATCCAGATGCATGAATATAAAAAGAAAAAAATATTTTCAGCCGCAAAAATAATGTATATCGCAATATATTATCTAGACTGTCAATATCTAATATTTTTATGTGTTTGTAAATCTACTTAATTGAACTATTTTTGGAGTTTAGACAACTAGAGATGGAAATAGATTCTCAAGCTATCCTAAGAATTTTTTACACCAAAATTATGTTTATGATAAAATTTGAAGGTGCGCCTTAATTTGATTGTTTAAGGTTACAACCTTTTACAAACTACACCATTATTTAAAGGAAAAAGTTTATATAAGGATGCAACCTTATAATGTAGAACTACGGATGCACTGCAAAAATCCATTGAAAAATGTAGTTTTAGTGTTAAAAAACCCTTTAATTGATCATCTCGACATTGAGATGTGTGACCATTAAAAATAAAAAGATTTTAAGTCTCAGAAATAGTGCATTTTAGAACATATTATCTACACCATCCATTTTCAAGATTTTCATATGTTTATAGATCTACTTGATTTTAACCATTTTTAAAATTTAAAATTTTATAATTAGATAAAACAATACATTTTGAAATAATCCTAAGAACATTTTACATCAAAATTATATACCATGATAAAATTTGAAGGTGCATCTTACTTCTACAGCTACGGATGCATCCGTATGCCAATGCAATTGCAAAGCTGCCACAAGAGTTCCTAAATAATGTGGCGTGTACAATATGCTCCTATGAGAGCATGTTGTACATAACTCTCCCTTGGGAAAAATAGCGACTTGGGAGTGTTTTTATTTTTTTTGAGTCAAAGTTTTGAGATTCCATCAAAGCATGACTGGATGATTATTATCAAATAAAAATACTTGGATTTTAACTTTTTGAACATCTGGATCTTTTCCTTTATATAGTGGACGGTTCTTGTGTAATCTTAGAATATCACTTGTTTTGGACATTTAAAGATTGAGATTTATAAAAAATTTCTTTGAGGTTTGCCCCTGTAGATTACACTCCCAAAATTTGTTGAACTTTTGATGGTACCAATGTTGAATTTTTGAGGGAAAGAGATGAATCAACCAAAGTCCCAGGAATCTAAGGCAATGTCAGAAGGTTGTAAATCGCAGAGATTAGATTTTACCAGAACAATTAAGAACTCTTTGTTTTCTCTGCGTGTCTATCCATAGCTTGAAAGCCCTACTTATAGAAACATGGGTGGAGGCCGTTCTCCAACATTCGGCTTTCTTCCTGGAATCTCTGAGATGGTGGTCATCTTTTCTTGGGAGATGGATAGTTATCATCTACCTGTTGAATAAATGCATCTTCTCTCTCTAAGAAGTCTTTTTAATGATAAATATTAAAATATATTATTAAGATAAAAAGAGATAAGTATGACACATGTGAAGCCCATAACCACCCATACGTACCAACAAAATTTGGGATCTAAAAAACATTGCTAGTATTAATTTCACCCAAGCAAATATATAGAGAGTATACTCCTACATAAGTAGAAAGTCTTTTTGCTTAATACTATATGGTACACATCCTTGTTTCAACACTCTCTTAGCCTCTTTTAGTCGGGTAGCTCTTCTCTTAGAAGCACCTAGCAGCCCGTTTGGTTCTCTGATTTCAGATTTTTAGGAGCCACTCTAACAGAGGATTCATATTTCCGTGGGAATTCACTTCACTTTTTAAGCCATATTTTTTTACAAAAACAGCCAATTTTTTTCTGTTTTTTCCTGCTCTCTCCAATATTACATTTGTGTCATCGTACACGTCCTAAGAAAAAATGATTGATGTTAATGTTAAAAACAAAATCACATGATGTGGGCCTTAGTAGATTAAGACAAAGGATCTCTCCACTCCTTTTTCATAAAATAATTTGTCATGTAGAAGAGCCGAGCCACATTGTGAAAACGATTGGTGTGGACGACGGCTTCATCTTTTGCACCGTCCCATTCATTCTTCTTTTGTTTTGGACTTGCAATTGGTGGCCCACCTTAACTAGTTTCACATATTGTTAGGAAATATTCAATTTTCCAGCCAAATTTTCTTATATGCAAGTGAAAGTGCTGTTCATTTACATGAAATAACTTTTCCTTCTCATTCTTGTCGTAAATTTCATAGAGAAAAAAATGGGATCGTATATAACGAGATAATTTATCTTTGATACAAAGACGTCACAATTACTTATAACCTATCCGATGTGAAGTCTGACAATTTGGGGGTATCACAATATTTGAGAGAATTTCTTTTGAGGTTTGAGCTTGGTCTATAGAATAAATGCAGTCATTTAATGGTCAAGATTAATTGTGACCACCTTGTACCAAAAGAAAATTGCCTCATTGTATACTTTCTAAAAGAAATAAACCAATGTTTTATTGAATTAAGGGGAAAAACATCAAATCTGATTACTAGTTACAAAGCCTTTCAATCTTTACTTTCAATTTAATAAGAGAAAATCAG